CAAAATTACTCCTTCGTTGACTAGAATGAATCATTAAATAGAAAATTTTATGAGAATTAAAACAATGTTATTTTTAAGATTAATATGCAGTCAGAAAGTTTTATAATTATTATTTATTGTAAATTTATCAGAAAAACTCATTATTTTTTGCATTTTTATCGTAATAGAACACTTAAATAGAAATTATAGTAATCACTTCTAAGTAATTTTTGGTATTTAAAAAGATTCTACAATTGAAATATCCAGAACTGAATTAATTTTAATGATTTACTTTAACTAAAAAAAAAAAAGTTAATATTTTGAATCCCTCTTGTGGGCAGGTAAAGGGTTAGATTTATAAAAAAAAACCAAATGATAGATAAAGACATGCATCTAAATAAAAAAAAATAATTAAGAACAAAAAAAATTGTTTTAAATTAATACTGATTTGATATAATATTTAATATTAATTTGATTATTAATAAGTTAAAAATAAGGAAAATGACATATTTAACCAATTTTGTTAATCGTTTAAAGTTGATTGTTGTAAATGTTTATAAAAAAAAAAAAAAATTTATTTTACCATAACTTTTAGCTCAATTGGTAAGTTTGACATTGACATAGTTAAATAGAAAATTTTATGACAATTAAAAAAATTGTATCGTTAAGATCAATTTGCAGTCAGAAAGTTTTATAATTACTGTTTATTGTAAATTTATCAGAAAAGCTCGATATTTTTTTGCATTTTTATGGTAATAGATAACTTAAATAGGAGTAATAGTGTTAATTTCCTAGTAACTTTTGTTGTTTGATGAAAAGATTCTATAATTGAAATATTGAGAACTTAATTAATTTTAATGATTTACTTTAACTAAATGTACCAATCAAAACAAAGTTGTTAAAAAGATTTACTCAATTGAGTGTATTATAAAATTTGATTATATTTGTAAAAATCAATTGTTAATTCAGGAGAAAAAACAATCATTTTTTTTAGAAATGATTTATATAGCAACATGTTACAAAAAAAAATTGTAATATTATAGTCTAGTAGTAGCACACACAAATAGAGTAAAAAAATTATTAAATTACAAAGTAAAATGATTTAATTTTGTAGTTGAAACCTATCATATCAAACTTCATTCGTTAATAAATATTTTGAAAACATTAGAAATTAATGATTTTAATTGTCTTTATGGAGACGATGTAATAACTAACTGTTTAATTGATAAATTAGAATTTTTTTTTCAATTTTTGAGAGTAATATCTTCAACTAGATACGAATTGTAGTCATTTGACGTATCGTTGAAAAAAGTAGGTCAAGTTAGAGCAGAGAAAATAAATGTTATTCACAAAAAAATATCTTCTCAGCTTTGCATCGAAGCTAAAACTTAAAATATAGTAAAATAATTTTAATACGAATAAGAAATTTCTTCTTGCAAGGGGCGACTAAAGTGATGGGATCNTTTTAATACGAATAAGAAATTTCTTCTTACAAGGGGCGACTAAAATTATGGGATCCTTGATCTTTATTGAAGTTATTGAATCTAAATAAGATAAAAATCAAACGAGTTAAAAATTTATACTAACTTAAAAAGAATTAAGAAAAAATGCAAAAAATTCATTGCCATTCGCAGGTTGGAACCTCGTACCCCAAGTGTGTAAAATATAAGTTTACCCATTTCTGCAACCGTACGTCGATGCCGTCGGGTGAAAAAATTGGCTATTTAAGCTAATTCAAATTGCAAAGTTATTTTTCTCGACTTAAAAGAAGCAAACAAATTTAAATAAGTTTAACTTTCTATGATATATTAATTTTAATTTATATAATATTTATGAAAATCTGTACTCCCCTTGTCAGGTATTTTAAAATAAAATAAAATACAAAACCCAGAATTNCAGAGATCAAATATTTTTTTTCAAATTAAAGTATATTACATAAGCTTTAATTTAAGATATATATAAAAGTATCAGTATTTCCGGAATACTTTCAAAAGTTAAGTTGAAAAAGTTANTTAAAGTATATTACATAAGCTTTAATTTAAGATATATATAAAAGTATCAGTATTTCCGGAATACTTTCAAAAATTAAATTGAAAATATCTTAATAACAATACGCATGTTTAAAGTTTTAACCCTCCTTGTTAAAGGGGTAGGATCCGATTTACAAAAAAAAGCGTGCCAGATGAAAGGAGTATGTAAATATTTGTTATAAAAAATAATAATATTGATCCATACATTTTTCCAAAAGTTATATAAAATATAAATTAAATAATATAACATATAAAATCGAGATTTTTTTCACGGAAATCGTACGTTTTTCTTTAACTTTGATGTCCGTTTTCACCACGAAGACAGTTCTAGAGGTCAAATTTTTTTTTTTCAAATTAAAGTATATTACATAAGCTTTAATTTAAGATATATATAAAAGTGTCAGTCTTTCCGGAACATTTTCAAAAGTTAAGTTGAAAAAGTTCTACTTTCAATACGCATTTTAAAAGGTTTGCACCCCCCCTGTATATAGGGAAATGGTCCGATTTAAAAAAAAAATATGTCGAATGAAAGAGGTATATATAAAGTATTTATTATTAAAAAATAGAATTGATTCATGCATTTTTTAAAAAGTTATAGCATCCTAATGTTAAAAAATGTAAAATATAATATCAAGAATGTTTTCAAAAAAATAGCATATTTTTGCATACTTAATTAATTTTTGCAATAATTATTGCTATTATTAAGTCAAAATTCATTTTTTCAAGCTGTGTATAGTAGTTATACACTTATTCATTAGATAGCTGAAAAATAAATAAATCAATAAAAAGCCATCGTCTATTTTAACGCATTATTTTTCAAAAAATTCATTAATAATTTAATTTAATCACTAACACAATAACATAAATTAAATTCCTTTAAATATAAAAATATATTTTATAGTTTTTTACAATAGATTTCAATGATTTAAATTTTTTTTAAATTATGGTAAAACTAGAAAAAAAAACCCAGCACAGGGGGGTCGCGGCACAGTTGTGACGTGATATAGTTGAATCAAGTATAATGATATCTGACAGTGATTAAAATCACTATCAAAAATAAACGTTCGATGCAAATCTTTAGATAGTGTTTAATTTTAAAAAAATTGGTGTTTTATTCCAAAAGCTACTTGATCTGCTGGTTCCTTAATATCTCGATTATGATAAAGTAT